ATGATCTTTCTCTCTTCAGTAGACACCTGTATCCTGGAACTGTCTCTACCAACGGTTCAGATCCGGAGGGACGTTTCCAACTGAAGATCTTGAGGGACACAGCGGCTCTTCAATCAATTATTTTGAAATCAGCTGTGCCCAATATCGCCTACACCGGGGAAACCGTGTTCATCACTGACCTCACTGATACCACTCCTTATCCACTCGCCAGAGTCCACCTGGATTGTCCCTTCGTGACCGGTGTAGTCCAAGTCGCCATCAGGAAAAAGCCTTTTCCCATGCCTGGAGTGCAACTTCTCCTGGGCAACGACTTGGCAGAAGACCTGCAACCGACCAACCTGATTGTCATGGACAAACCCCAGGTGTGTATCTCTGTAATGGATAATCCCATCTTTGAGTATTTTCCAGCAAAGGTTCAAGAGAGTGATGAAGTTTCTCCTCCGGTTTTAGTGACCACCCGTGCACAAGCTGCACGACCACAGCCAGCTGACTCTACTGCTACCGCTGTCCCTCAAGACCCTCAGAAACAACCCCCGAATCTGACCACGTTGGAGTTCCGTAAGTTACAGAGGGAAGATCTTACCTTGACACCATTATTCTTCCAGGCTGAGACTCAACCTGACAGTATTCCTGGGTTCTTTCTAGAGAACGAGTTGCTCTACCGCAGATACAGACCCAGTAAACTGAAGGAGGAGGACGATTGGGCCAACGTCGAACAACTAGTGATTCCTGCCAGCCTGCGGCCCACTATTCTACACCTGGCCCACGGAGCACTCTCACACTACGGATTTAACAAGACCTACCACGGAATCCGTCAAGACTACTACTGGCCAGGAATGGTAAATAGCGTCAAACAGTACGCCAAACAGTGTCATATATGTCAGATGGCAGGTAAACCGAACATCTCTATCCCCAGAGCACCACTGACTCCCATACAGGTCCCTGCGGAACCTTTCCACAGACTTATTATAGACTGTGTTGGTCCTTTACCTCGGACCAGTTCAGGTAACGCCTATATCTTAACCATCCTGTGTCCTACCACCAGATTCCCCATAGCAGTTCCAGTAAAGAACATTACGGCTGCTACGGTTGTGAAACACTTATTGAAGATCTTCACCCAGTATGGATTTCCAAGGGAGGTTCAGAGCGACTGTGGCACCAACTTCACCAGTGATCTCTTCAAGAGGACACTGGAAGAGTTCAACATCAAACAGGTATTGTCCAGCCCCTATCATCCTGCTTCACAGGGTTCTCTTGAGCGTAGTCATTAGACTATTAAAGCACTCCTGAAGAAGTTTTGCAATGAAACCTCTAAGGATTGGGATAAGCAAATAGATTTAATCATGTGTATATTTAGAAGTCTTCCCAATGAGTCTCTAGGAGTATCTCCTTATGAGATGCTCTACGGACGTAAGTGCCGTACTCCTCTCAAAGCTTTTAAAGACTCACTACGTGATGCCACCTTCAGTGAGCATCAGAATGTGCCCCAGTTTCTTCAAAACCTACAACACATTCTAGAGAGGGTGCATAACTTTGCTAAGGATAATCTATTGAAAGCACAGGAGAGGATGAATACTCATTACGACCAGAACAGCAAAGTAAGGAAATTTAAATCGGGAGACTTCGTGCTTGCTTATTTCCCTATCCCAGGTTCTCCTTTGCAAAACAGGTTTTCAGGACCCTACCGCATCAAGGAGTGCAGAAACAACCACAACTACGTTCTAGGGACTCCAGATAGGCGGCGGAAGACCCAGTTGTGCCACGTCAACCTCCTGAAGCTATATAACGGTACTCCTCCCACTGTATTGATAACATATTCTTCCTTAAAAAGTCCATACATCCACAGTGAGACCTTCCCTGCTTCTCCTCCCGAAAGCACTGACACTGAGTCAGCGCTTTCCAATTCGGAAATCCTAACTGATCTTCGTAGCTATTTTCAGGACAATAATAGTGCACCTCTCATCAAAATCTTCAAGGAACATCAGGAGTTGTTCCGAGATGATCCACATGCGTGTAATGTAACTCAGCACGACATCCAGCTGCTCCCTGACACCCGGCCGATTCGTCAACACTTCTACCGAATCAGCCCTAGCAAGAAGGAAGTCATGCGTGCTGAGGTACAGTACCTCCTGGATCATGGACTGGCCACACCTTGTGAGTCCCCCTGGGCCTCACCCTGTATCTTGGTGCCAAAACCCCAAGGTAAGGTTAGATTGTGCACAGACTATCGGAAATTGAAAAATGTGACTGTCAAGGTTGCATACCCCTTACCAAGGATAGATGACATCCTTGACGCCATTGGTATTGCCCGGTACTTGTCCCAAGTGGAATTGCTCAAGGGGTATTACCAAGTGTGTTTAACAGAGCGAGCCAAAGAAATATCTGCCTTTATCACTCCCTTTGGACTTTTCAGGTATGAACGCCTTCCCTTTGGACTATGTAATGCCCCGGCCACCTTTCAGAGAGCTGTCAACCGCGTCATCCAGGGCTTGGATAACACCTATGCCTATTTGGATGATATCGTTGTAGCATCCAACACCTGGAGCGAACATCTGCTCCAGCTGCAACGATTGTTCGCCAAGCTCCTGACAGCCGGCCTCACCATCAACCTGGGCAAGTCCACATTTGCCAAAGGTAAAGTGCGTTATCTGGGTCATGTAATAGGGAGTGGCAGCCTAGCTCCGTTAAACATACACACTCAAGCCATCAAGCATTATCCACAGCCTACCACCAGGAAGCAGCTCCTGCGCTTCCTTGGTCTTGCCTCCAACTACTGTAGGTTTGTGAAGAATTTTAGTACGGTAGCAACCCCATTAATCACTTTAACCAGTCCCAAGCAACGGTATAATTGGATCATTCAGCAAACCGTTGCTTTCGAACAACTCAAATTCCTGCTCTGTTCTAATCCTATTCTCGCCTCGCCAGATATCACCAAGCCTTTCATCCTCCATGTTGACGCCAGTGGTACCGGCATCGGAGGTGTCCTGATGCAGCAACGAGGCGAGGAGGTTCTACCTGTTAGCTACTACAGCTACAAGTTGAAACCCACCAGAAGAACTACAGCACTATCGAGAAGGAGCTACTCTCCATCGTCCTGAATCTACAGCACTTTGCTCCATGCCTACAAGGTGCTAGGTCTACCACCATCTACTCAGACCACAATCCTCTCCGCTTCTTACATCAAGCCCAATTCAATAACCAACGTCTTCTACGATGGGCTTTATAACTACAAGATTTCAACCTGGAGATCTTCTACATCAAGGGATATGACAACATCATAGCCGACGCCCTCTCCAGAGTCTATGAAGTAGAGGCAACTCCACCTAATACTCTACCACATGAAGACGTAACTTCTTCCGGAACCGCAGGCTTTGGGGGAGAGTTTTGACAATAATCTCTTTCAAGAGAGATTGAGCCTGCTCTTCCCTATATCATTTACGTCATTTTACAAGTACAAGATACTATATTGAAGATACGTCCACCATTATCACAAAAGTTTTGCCCAGGAAGCAAAGAGTACCTTGCACCACCCGACACGCCGGCTCTGCCCGTCATCAACGAGCAAACTACCCATTCTCCGCCTGCCTGCTCCTGATTGGCTGGTGTATCGCCGACAACACCTGCACCTGCACTCACGCCCTCTACCTGAGTCGACGTCTGGGCCAGCTCATGCCGTACTCCTCAGAATATCTCTGTGCTCTTAGAAGTTGACATCTCTCTCTAGTAGACTAAGCCCTGGCTGTCGTGTACTAAGGGAGCTGGCAGCTCAAGCCAGTATTCTCAGCACCTGATTATCATTATTATTGTCGTGCACTTCATTTTATTTTAGAGTAAATTTCACAATCATTAATTATTCATGTTGTTTTGTTTGTTGACTTGTTTTGAATTTTACGTAAGCCAAGGGATTGTCTTTGTTCATATCTTGTTTTCTAAAGTAATTAAAATTTCATTGTTTATATTTTGTGTTTTGTGTGTCTTCCCATTACCTTACCACAGACAAACAGGCAAGCAGTCTCTTTTTTTCTGTAAGTGTGACAAGGCATATATATATATATATATATATATATATATATATATATATATATATATATATATATATATATATATATATATATATATATATATGTTGTACCTAGTAGCCAGAACGTTGTACTCGGCCGGCTATGCAAGGCCCGATTTGCCTAATAAGCCCAGTTTTCCTGAATTAATATATTTTCTCTAATTTTTTTCTTATGAAATGATAAAGGTACTCATTTCATTATATATTAAGTCAATTTTTTTTATTGGAGTTAAACTGTTTAACGCAACAGTAAAATGTGTACTTGGATGAAAAAAACGATTCTTCGCGGCAGGGGATCGTATTCCAGGGACCGTAGGATTAAGGACTTGCCCGAAACGCTACGCGTACTAGTGGCTGTACAAGAATGTAACAACTCTTGTATATATCTCAAAAAAAAAAAAAAAAAACTAACGTAGATATATGACCAAACCTAACCAACCCTACCTAACCTAACCTAACCTATCTTTGTAGGTTAGGTTAGGTTAGGTTAGGTTAGGTAGGTCAGGTAGTCAAAAAACAATTAATTCATTAAAACTTGGCTTATTAGGCAAATCGGGCCTTGCATAGTAGGCTGAGAAGTGAGTTCTGGCTACTATGTACGACATATATATATATGTGGTACCTAGTAGCCAGAACACACTTCTCGGTCTACTACGAAAGGCCCGATTTGCCTAATAGGCCGAGTGATTTTCTTTATTTTCAATAAATTGTTTCCAATTAGTTTATTTTAATTATTATTATTACAATATATTAAGAACATAAACTATTGACTTAATTGTGTTAGTTTTGGTTAGGTTAAGATAGGTTCGGTTAGGTTAGGTAGGGTTGGTTAGGTTCGGTCATATATCTACGTTAGTTTTAACTCCAATAATAAAAATTGACCTCATACATAATGAAATGAGTAGCTTTATCATTTCATAAGAAAAAAATTAGAGAAAATATATTAATTCAGGAAAACTTGGCTTATTAGGCATGGAAACAACAGTTGAACGGAGGAGTTGCAGAATCTGCTGTGAGAGTGATAGACACCGCATTGTCCACTACCTGAGAGAGTGTGGATATATAAGAGTCATTAGAAATATGTGAAGAATAATAAACCGCACAATGTTTGAGTTATGAAAACACTATATGGTAAATATAGACACTTATTAAAAGATTCCCCCATTTTGCACCCGCAAGGTATAGTACGATTTTAAGGGCTGACGAACGTTAATCTTGTTGTTTGAGAAGCTGTTCACTTGAGACAGTTAAGCAAGTCCCAGCTGTGTCTGAGTACAAGTGACAGGATGAATAACTCATCTGGTTTTCTTCCTAACGGGAGTGTTGTACATCATGTTATGGCGAAATGGCCACTCACAGGATGAATGACTCTGCCCATAAACTCGCCCCTTGGGGCAAAATTGAAATTTAAGATCGGGATTTCAGGATTCGGGGCTTGGGATCGAATCTCTGGCAGGAAAAAACGTGTTGCGTGCATTTCCTATCACCAAATGTACCAGTTCACCTAGCAGTAAATTTGTTCCCAGGAGTTAATGAGCTTGTCGTAAGGTTGCATCCTGGGGTGGTGGGATCAGTAATTCGACATTAAAGGGGACCTCAATTTAAGCCTAACATGTATATATTATCTAGCTGGCTGTCCCCTGACACAATAAATTATTAATTTTCCCTCACATTCCATGCCAATTTTGTATTTTATGTGTGACCAACAATTGTATGTGAGACGGGAATATTAGGTGAACTTATGGCAAGCAATTAACCTTCGCTCTTAATACATCAACACATCACTACTTCATGGGTTAGAAAGCTTGTTAATAATAACAAACAAAAAAAATCAACAGTAATTAACAACATTCTTAATTAAAACTATTATTACCCTCTTGATGTGCTCAATTCATTTAAATAAATTTAATTCCCCTTGAATATTTTTAAAGTTTATAAATTTTGTTTACTTTCTTGGAAGAATAAAGGTTTTTTAATTCTCTCCTTGAATGCTTGTACGTCGGTGACAAGAACAGGGGCAGCGCCACATAAAGTGGTGTGCAGTGATGCCAGTGCTTCAGGGGTAACTGTCGGAGACTGGTTCAAGAAGTTAAGCACTGGTGGAACCAAGTGAAGAGTTCCCACCTGAGGGTTGAAAGAAATTTAAAAAAATCAGATTTTAAAATAATTACACAAATACCAGATGACCACAATGTCTCAATCAATATAGTATGAAGCTGCCTACATTGTATTAGTTTAGGTGTACTTTTTGTTTTTTATAAATTACTACAAAATTTCAAACTATGTCTTAAATATTTAGTTAGACTTTAGGCTGACCAGAAGTCAGTGTTAGTGGGTAATGGATGGATGGATGGATAGATATATGGACAGGTAGGAGATAGAGAGGTCCGGTCAACGCCGGTACCCGTTCTCCTAGTATAAATATAAAAGCGAATATCTGTGCAAGATTGAAGGCCAGACGCTCATAGCTAGGCTCAATAGCCATGCAGGGGTGGAGGCCAAACGCTCGGACCTAGGCTCAATAGTCTTACAGGGTGGAGGCCAAACGCTCGGAGTTAGTTTCAGTAGCCTTGCAGGGTGACTTCGCTGAAGAAAGACGTTCTTTTAAGAGCTATATCTCTAAGAAGCAGCCAGACATCAGTGTATCAAGATCCAGGCGTGTAGTATCTCCTCATGACTCAGTTGATCAAGTCCTAATGTTCAAGAATTCGCAGTTAGCAGCCACACACACTAATTCACATTACCTACTGTTCAATATTATCCACTTCTCGCATCATACTTGAGAATAACATCCACTTTTCTCATTACACACTCTTCATTACATCCACTTCTCACATCACACACTGTTCAATACCACCCACTTCTATCACATTACACACTTCAATAAGCCACGTCTCACATACATAATGTGTATAACGCCCCCTTCTCACATCACTATTCAATAATATCAACTTCTCACATCACTGGTCAATGACAGATCGTATATTCCTAAGCTTAATACCCAAAAAAGTAATAGTACAATTTTGATTAACAGGTGCGACAACATTCCCGCGTATAGTACTGGTAGTCAAACCAGTACTATATATATATATATATATATATATATATATATATATATATATATATATATATATATATATATATATATATATATATATATATATATATATATATATATATATATATATATATATATATATATATATATATATATATATATATATATATATATATATATATATATATATATATATATATATATATATATATATATATATATATATATATATATATATATATATATATATATATATATATATATATATATATATATATATATATATATATATATATATATATATATATATATATATATATATATGTCGTACCTAGTAGCCAGAACTCACTTCTCAGCCTACTATGCAAGGCCCGATTTGCCTAATAAGCCAAGTTTTCATGAATTAATGTTTTTTCGTCTACCTAACCTACCTAACCTAACCTAACCTAGCTTTTTTTGGCTACCTAACCTAACCTTACCTATATATATAGGTTAGGTTAGGTTAGGTAGGGTTGGTTAGGTTCGGTCATATATCTACGTTAATTTTAACTCCAATAAAAAAAAATTGACCTCATACATAGTGAAAAGGGTAGCTTTATCATTTCATAAGAAATTAATTATAGTAAATAAATTAATTCAGGAAAACTTGGCTTATTAGGCAAATCGGGCCTTGAATAGTAGGCTGATAAGTGAGTTCTGGCTACTAGGTACGACATATATATATATATATATATATATATATACATATATATGTTGTACCTAGTAGCCAGAACGCAGTTCTCGGCCTACTATGCAAGGCCCACTTTGCCTAATAGGCCGAGTTTTCCTAAATTTATATATTTTTCGATTATTTTGTTTATGAAATGATAAATCTATCCATTTCATTATGTATCAGTTAAGTTCTTTTCTTTTGAGTTAAAACTAACATAGATATATGACAGAATCTAACCAACCTTTTCCTAACCTAACCTAACCGATCTTAACCTAACCTAAACTAACATAACTAAATCAATAATTTTTGTTCTTAATATAATATAATAATAATAATTATTCAAATAAACTAATTGGAAACAATATTGAAAAAAACAGAAAATCACTCAAACTATTAGGCAAATTGGCCTATTAGGCAAATCGGGCCTTGCATAGTAGGCCGAGGAGTGCATTCTGGCTACTAGGTACGACTTATATATGTATATATATATAGTACTGGTATATATGTACTCCCTTTCTACTGTAGTAATCCTACACGATGGGTGAAACTTCTTATTTAAGAAATTCCTTATAAAGGTATAAACCATATGCAAAGGATAACCATTATTTGAAAAAAATTTCACAAGAAAATGAATTTCTTGAACAAAGTTATTCCAATTTGAACATAAAACAAAGGCCCTATTCAGTAGAGTGTTAATTGCATTTTTCTTAAAAATATCAGGAACAAAAGAATTAAAATTTAAACCTAAACCAGTAAATGTTGGTTTCCTAAAAACATTAGTGTTGAACCCATTAAGGTTATTCACTTTGACATCAAGAAACGACAATGAATTATCCACTTCACACTCTGCAGTAAAACATATATTACTATGTTGTGCATTAAGATACTCTCTAAATTTCTCAATATGACATTGGTCCTTAAATAACAAAAAAGTGTCATCTACATATCTCCTGTACAAGACTGGTTTCAAGGCCAAAGGACATTTATCAAGCCAATTTATTTCATGAAAACTCGAAAAAGCATTAGCCAGTGCAGGACCTAAGGGAGACCCCATTGCTACTCCATCAATTTGTTTATAATATTTATTATTAAACATAAAGACGGAGTCTTTAACCGCTATTTCTAACAGCCGTCTGAATATTTTACTACAAAATCCAGACACTAAATTAGTGTCAGCAAATAATTGATTTACACAAATATCAATGGTTTCCAACAACGGAATATTAGTTGGTTTCCAACAACGGAATCAATAAGATGAGTGATTCATCATCGAAACTGGCCATTATAGTTGGGAACTCAAAATTTAAAGAGGAAAGTTCTTTTACAAAATCCTAAGAATTTCTCACAGTAAATTCATTATGCATTAATGGTTCTAATAATGGAACCAGAAACTTTGCCAGTTTGTAATTAAAAGTGCCAATCGCTGATAAAATAGGACGAATCGGTATACCTGTTTTATGAACTTTAGGTAACCCGTATAAGATTCCTGGCTTAGAGCCAGTTGCAAGTAATTTTGTATAATCAAAAAGAGTCTTTCAGACTTCTTAAAACTCTATTTAGAGTTTTAAGAAGTCAAACGACTCCTTTCTGTAAGGAGTCGTTTGAGGAGACTGTTGCAGCATTGTTATCCTCAAGTAGACTTTAGATTTATTTTTGTCAACACAAATACCATAGGCTCTTATTTTAAATTTAAAGATAAAGTGCCTACACCCTAGTGCTCAAGTGTCGTATATATGTATAATTGTTCCAGCTGTAATGCTGGATATATTGGGAGCTCCATTCGGAACTTTAAGATTAGGATACTTGAGCACCGGGGAGTATCTTTTAGGACTTGATTACCATTGTCTAAATCAGCATTTTCGGAGATTAGAAACCATTCTTATGAGTTTGATCATTCTCTGCTGGAATCTGATTTTAAAGTTCTGGACACTTGTATGAATGGCCAGTCAGACTTGAGAGTAATGGCATCCTTATGTATAAAGGAGCTGCGGCCTCTGTTAAATAACAACCTTTCGGCTGTTCAATTGTACACTGTATAGTGCACAGTAGGCCCTGTAATTTGACTTATAGTTCATTCTGGTAGTTTAATTTGATTATAATTTTGTTTAGTTTACCATGTCTTTGCCTTTTCGTACTTATTTCAAGTCTTGACATTGTACATTATTATGATCTTTTATTTAGGATATGTAATACACTTTTTGGTATTTAGTTTTATTTAATATTTGAGTTTTTATAAGATTTTGGTTAGTAGTTTATAATTGTCGTTTATTCTGTTTGCATTTTATATATATTTGTTGTAGATTTGTAGTCATTATATGAATATTTTCTTATAGTGTTTAGTATCTATGTGTTAGCTATCAAGTTTCACTTTTGATCACTTTGCGTAAGTTTAACAGAATGGTTTGTTTTAGTAGTTATAAAATTCCTCTTGTAATTTAATGGATTTTTAAATTAGCTTTCATCTATGTGACAGTTAATAAGTTTTATATGTATTGATCACTTTAAGTAAGCTTAAGTGTTTTGCTTTTTAAGCATTTTCCTTTCTTTGATAGGCAATTATATTCAGTATGAGTTCTTTGTTTACCAGTTATTTGATTGTGACTTCTGTTTTTCTTTTAGATCTGATGATGAATACGAGAAGTATTCGAAACATTATGCATTTTAAAGTAAAGAATCTGGAAAAAGATGTTCAGTATATCCCTGGTTTTCCTATTCATCTTATGTATATATATATATATATATATATATATATATATATATATATATATATATATATATATATATATATATATATATATATATATATATATATATATACTAGAGCAAGTGAGGGGTCATTTTTACGTTTTTTCATCCAGTCCCTGTTAATATGGGAGAACACTGTGTCTATGCTTAGGGCACAACTCTCCTATATATATATTTATACACTCCAAAGATCATTTTTAAACGTAAAAATGACCCCTCACTTGCTCTAGTGCTCTTGGGAGGTGGTATATCTTTGGAGTGTATAAATACTCCGAAATTACCATCTCTTTTAAGGGTCTGAGCAGGTGGTGGAGCGGGTTAAGGCGTACCTGTTATGCCAGTTGCTGGAAGGCTTCTGTGCTGGCTAGGGTTCGAGTCTCTGGTTGGGAAAGTGTTCTAAAGTTGTATACTTCACTCTCGTGTTTAGGAGAGTTGTGCCTTAAGCATAGACACAGTGTTCTCCCATATTAACAGGGACTGGATGAAAAAACGTAAAAATGACCCCTCACTTGCTCTAGTGCTCTTGGGAGGTGGTATATCTTTGGAGTGTATAAATACTCCGAAATTACCATCTCTTTTAAGGGTCTGAGCAGGTGGTGGAGCGGGTTA